TTCTCCTTAATTCCAGGTTTCTTCTCTTCAAATATGTGTAGATTTTTTTAAGCTTCTACAGTCTCATCCAAAAATGAAACATTCCCTGCCCACATCCTAAATTGTGGTTCTTGAAAGAGAAATTTCCAGTAATGGGTGGGAACTAATCAAGGAGAGAAGCAACTTAGAACTGAGGAGAAATTTCCTGCCAGTGAGAACAATTAATCAGTGGAACAGCTTGCCTCCGGGAAGTTGTGAATGCCCCAATACTGGAAGTCTTTAAGACGATGTTGGATAGCCATTTGTCTGAAACGGTATAGGGTTTCCTGCCTAGGCAGGGGGTTGGACTAGAAGACCTCCAAGGTCCCTTCCAACTCTGCTATTGTATTGTATTGTATAAAGATCAGCTGGGACTGAGGATCAGATGAGTGTCCTGGGTCTGGGTGTATTGTTGTCCATGAGACCAATCACTGACTGTGATGTTGCTTACTACCAGAAGCATGTACCGATGATGATTTGTTTTGGGCCAATGATAAACCCAAGATAAAGCCATTCTAGCAGTTTATAAAGTTTGATCTAGACACGAAAGAAAAAAAAACTGGCTCTAAGAACTGTATGTAGCTCTAGTGAATAGAACATGAGAGATTGTAATGAAAAACTAGAAATAGATTGAATGTGGTTGATCGGTGATGTACATGACAATAAATTACAAAATTTGATGCTGGGACATTAGTAGATAAAATGCTCTGCTTAAATTCTATCCTCAAATTTTTGTCCATATGCTTTGTGGCCAATTTACTGAGTGCCTTAAGTCCTCCAAAGCACTGCATTAACCCAGCCCATGAATTGCACCAATGAAATGCGCTTTTCCCACTGCTTGGTATGTAAGTTTACCAATTTAATTTTATTTAAACAACCGCTTGCCTTCCCCTCCCCCTGCTCCGTATTTCAATTAAGGGATCTCATATTTCTGAGAAGGAAATGAATTTTTATGGAGTCCATATGATGGGTTTTTCCTCCCCCTCTTAATCATATTTGTTCACTGCATAACAATGGAGCGAAAATATTTGCTAGAAAGGCACGCTGTAGCTTGATGTGCATGCCTGCAGGAATCGAAGGAGGACAAATGTTTCTCTCCAGACTGCACATTGGTGCACGTCTTCCACAGTTGATACCCACATTAATCAGAATGTTGATGATACAAAAAATTCTTTCGTTTTTCTTTCTTTTCCTTGTTTCCTTTTTCCTTCCTTCCTTCCTTCCTTCCTTCCTTCCTTCCTTCCTTCCTTCCTTCCTTCCTTC